AATGTGACATCGTGACTTAACAGAATTGACTGAGTGTGACAAATTAATGAAGTGAGCCAAATGCAGTCATATTGTATTTTTAAATTTAGAAACACACTCGTCTCTAAAACTGCCCAGTTTAAATTTTCACTTGTGTTAAACTTGCGCTTTGTCCTTGCTAAACAAGCGACTTAGTAACCCAATAATTAATTCATCATTACTAATTCTAGAACTGGCTCAACGCCGACATGAAATAAAAAAATATGTGCCGTATCTATTTATTTGAACGGGATTATTTTTAGATGGACGATTTCTCTTGAAAATGTAAGCATTTGAATTTTATTGAACTTTCGCTGCTTGTACTTTTATTTTCTTCAGACATTTTAAACACAAAATAATTTGTTGTATGAGTGAGTGTTAATGGTCAAGGATGTTTTTTCAGCTGCCAAAAAATATGGCGGGTCCTTGTAACCGTTTATGCTAGACCTAATTGTTATCCTAGACGCCTAAGATATTATTTTGATGAGAAAGATGAAAAAATTAGGTCGGTGTTTTTGACATATTATCACACAAAAGCCAGGGGTTTTTCTTAAATACAAAAATTAATCAAAATTTAAGTAAGTAGTTAAGTCTTTCCATTACTTTGAAACATCATAAAATAGCTATTAAAATTGAAATGGAACTTTATGACTGTTTTCCATTAAAAATATACAACTGTTTTACGCAAATTTTGAATCAACTATGAACTGTTACTCTTTATGTTTTAGAAAAAAGAGAGCATCGCTTATCAACGCATTCTTTACATTGTTAATCCTGTAAATACATATAATAAACAATGGAAGTTTATGCTATGTTGTAGAGATTGCTGCACTGGAGCACTTGCCACTAAGAACGTAATCAAAAACCAATTGTACTTTTTGATTAATAAAAAGCATGCTACAAAATCCGTTACAGTTTGGCAATTTTCAAAGGTATTAACAAGAGTTGCTATATAAAACACGACCACATCGAAGACCAAACAAAATGTATGCTATTTAATGTTGATACAATAAACTAACTAAAATCAACATAAATAAAAAAATACGCAAAAGTTAACATAATTATTTATGTGTAACAAAATTCAAAACTTACAACACAAATTTCAAATGTAAATATTATTTAATTATAATCACTAAGAGAGAATTAAGATAACAATGGTAGAAATAATGAACAATGCATTTTTATCAAAATACGTATGCTAACAATTAAATTTTCTTAATGACACTTTCGTTTTTGTCATAGCATTTATAGATAAGGATTTTACCACTTTTTGGTGTTATTTTATTATCGTTTAGTACAAAATACACATATTACTTACATAACATAAAAAACGTTGGCTCAGGAATTACAACACAATAATAAAACTTATTCTTTCAATTCATGCTTTCTAGACAGTTCATATTGGCATATTAAAAAAAAAAATTCAATAAGTACTATTAATTATTAATTACTATATTAAATTAATTATTATTGGAGAAAATATTAATAATAAATTGTTTATACACACGTAATGAGAACATAAAATAATTCATACAAACCAATAAAATATAAATAATAGGAGTACAATATTAGACTAATAAGGTTATATCTAAACTATAGTACAACATATCCAGCTGTTTCGAAAAATTATAAGGTTTGATTTTGCGTACTTATTTAATTTTCTATGTAAGCTATGTTAAACAAAAATAAAGAAGCACGCTATGCATAGGCTTCAAGTGAGTTTTCTAATACAGAGTTTGAGATGACGTCATCAGTTCTTTGGGAGGGGGTGGACGGATAAATTTTGATTAACGATTTACCATGTAAGATTTCAGATCATTAGGTTTTGCAGTTTCGAAGTTAAATTGTAAAATGTTGTGATAAATTTTTTTATTTTTTCCAAAAATCGGGGGGTCAAGGATAAAAAAATCACGTCGGATTCATAAACCACAAGAATAGATGTTATTTTATACGAATTAAAAAGCATTTACATTAACGCCAAAAAAAGATATAAATAATACAATTGTGATTTTTTTTTCAATAATCTACATGTCTGGTGTAAAAAACCAGGGCGGATTCATAAACCATCAGTGTAGCATATGTTATCTTACAGGATTTTAATACCATTTACTATGCCTAATTTTAAAATAACGTCAGCACATTTTTGATAGGGGCACTTAGACAAATTTTGGTAGACATTTTACCATCTACACAACATTCCTAAAATACATGGAAATTATCTATTTATTCAACATCGACACAGACAGACAACAGACAGACGACAGACAGATAGACGGAAAGGGGATCTGTTTTTTCATATTTTAGGGGTCATGAAACTCAAGATATTCAAAAATAGCCAGACAAATGTACTTTTTTAGCTTACGCTCGTGAAATAAAAACTGAGCTAAAAGTATTTAGACTGAACTTCCCGAGCCCCTGGAGTACAATCAATTAAGCAAATCTAATAATCTCTAGATAAATTAGAAAATTTGATACTGAATTCCCAACAAAGAAAGCGGTAGATTATCAAACTATATATATCAAACTAATTGTTTTATTAATTAATTTATTTGTCATTTGCAGAATTTTAGCAATATGTTATTTATGATTTTGTAGTTTCAAAGTTAGATTGTAAAATTTTGTAATAAATTTTGGATATTTTTCCAAAAACTAGGAATCGATTAATATATCACACGTCTAGAAGCATTTTTAGTGGGAATGATACCATTAAAAATTTCAATTAATTTAGGAGATTATTTGACTAATAAAATTTCCAATAGACCACAGGTAGAAATCGGAAACGGAGAACCTCCTTTCTCATATTGTAAAAGGTATTGCAATATTTCCCTAAATGAAAGTCAAACGAAAAATCAAATAAAAAAAAAAAACAATTATTATGTTTCACTAATTTCATTTATTGTTGAGAAATTCCCATTTCGGAAATTTAAATAAAAGATTGTATAGATATACAGTGTGATGAAAAAATGAGGTATTTGCTCGATGATACTTTGTTACGAAAGTTCTCCAGAATTTGAAAAAAATGTTTAAAAAAAGTCTCTGAACCATTTTTGAAAATATCGAACTTCAACATTGAAGAATTAACTTCGTAATTCTGATGTGTTTTAATGTGAATTTAATTGAAAATCTAATTTTCCGATAAAAATTGACAAAAAAATGGCATTTTTTATAAATAATGTTTTTTTATTAAATTATTAATGATTTTAACAGTCTCTTAGACAATCCAGTGCATTAAAATACTTTAGAATTAGGAAATTAATTCTTCAACTTTGACATTCAATATTATTTAATAATAAAAGCTACGTTGTGATTAGTGTTACAACGTAGGCGTCAGAATTAAGTTTATAACTATTTCGAAGTATTATATTGGGATAATTACGAAATGAAATTAAGTAATCAATAATAATACAGGGTTTTCATGAATATTTGATATCTAGGTAGGTTATGGATTTTAAAATCAGTTGCTACTTCCTCTGATCACTGCGCACTGCTTAACCTAAAATTTTAATACGTCAAACTTCAAATAGAAAAGTGGTCAAACTTTGACATCAAACGTCAAATTTCAAATTGAACTTGACAATCTGTCAGTACCAACTTACAAACAAAATGCATGGCAAGACTGCACAATAGTAGTTAACAATAACCAGTTAATCAATTTTAGAAACGAACAAACTTTTTTAAAATGTCATTTATTTCCAAATTTTGACGATATACCAATTCAAATTATTAAGAAAAAGATTTACGGATGTTCGAAAATTCCTTTATTGAAAAATTGCTTTCAATTACACACGACCTTGTGAAACAATCTAATCCACGATTGCAGTTTGCGTTTATTTGCAACAACAAATGATGTTTAAGATAACCTTCTACACGATTGATCCAATTCAGAAACTTGGAAATTACAACAATCAAAATGAACTAAATTTCAAGAAAAACATGTCTAGTGCAGCAAATAATGAAACAATATTAGTTCAAAAGAAATTTTAAAAATAGTTTTGTGTCAACCAATATACTTAAAATATATACTAATTATTCTTATAAATAAAATACAGGTTTTCGAAAGTTCGTTTTTTGCGTAAGAGGGGAAGCGCTACTATTTCGTTCACTATCTGTTAACTTCTTTACAATACAAAATAACTGTGCTAGGTAATTGTACGACGAAGTTTATAGTTGTCTGGTAGCCTGATGAACAAATGGGAGTTGTTTAAGTAGGTTCAGGTAAAATAAACAGAAGCTTTTGAATATGAATTAGCACTTACAGAAAATAATATTGTAATACCAGGTAAGTAATTAAAACAAATAACAAGTATGTACATAATAATGGCACGGTTTTATATTTTCTTTCTGTATTTATTAAACCGTTTACAACAGTGTTACACTGACACACAATTAATACTTTTTATGTTGTTAGTTATAATAGATATGCAATCACAATAAGTGACAGCATTCATAAAAAGATGAAAAAGGAAACAAATTATCACAATCGCATTTATGCGATGATGTTACCGTATGTACGTCCACACAACTAGAATTCACCAAATTTGGACAAGCAACTGATGCAAGCAATGTTGTAACCATACGAGAAGTAAAAAAGATACCCGTACTTTACCTAATACGCATCATTTGATGACTTTGTAACACGTTTCAACAGTTAATAAAATATAACAATCGTATGCGAAAATTATGTAATATTTCAAGGTAAAATTAATAAATATGCAATTTAAACTAACAACACATGTAGGCGAAAACCTACAATTTTCTAATTCTGCGACTAATTTAAAAATAACACCAAAAATAGTCCTCGTCGCCGAGAGGCCAGCCAACTTATCACTTTACCAAACAACATTTTATGCAAATATTTATGCGAAAACGATAACAACAACACAAGTCCGCGTTTGTGATAACGCAGGTGCACTTGCTAGTTTGCGGCCAATTTTGGCCACGAAGGAGGACGAAGAGGTGTAAAACGGTTTCGGCAAACTTACGGTTTCCTGCAAAAGTCGCCAGGTATCCTGTACCACACCACATACACACAACACTAGTTTCGTAAACCGAAGACTTGTTCATGTGCTATTCTCAGATCAACTCGACTTGGCTGGACGATGTTCAAATGTCAGCGCGTAGGTAACAGTTGCCAACACGCAAGCGTCGGTTTGCTGATTTCGGTGTGGGCGGCAAAACGGCGCTGCAGCAGGTATTCGGAAAAATGCAGGTGAACCTTCGACTGGAATGCACTCAGGGAAGAACTCGTAATTTGCTTTTTTTAAGCGAGTGATCGGTGGCATGCGTTTTTGCCTCGTGGTTTAATCGCTGATTTTATTGACGAGTGATTAGATTAGACAATCGTCGCAGATTCCGAAAATTGAGATTAAGAAGAACTTACTGATAAATATCGTTTAATATTTAAGATAAAAATGATGTTTATTTATAAATTTTCTATAAAGTTTCTTTTTTTCTCATAAAACAACGGCAACGTAGGATCTCATAAGCTAGACTTATCTCTTTTTTTTTTGAAATGACGTTGACAATTTTATGTATTTCCAGATTTAAGTCGTACTAAAAAGTGTTTTCATGGAACAAAAAAATAAACATGAATTTAAATATATTTTTAACGAAAAAAGTAGCCTTAAATAAAATTTCTAAGAGTAAATTACACATAATAGTGTAATTAAAACCATACCTAAATAATGGGAAAATTATAGAACATGTATATCTAAATTAGCTAAACTATTACATATTCGTCTAGCGATATCTTTTTACATATTATTAACAGTAAGTAGCCATGTTTCGAAATAAAATGTGGTTTGCGTACTTTGTTTCTTTTTATAACACTTGTATTCAAATAAAACTGTTGTTCTTTTTAACCTAATACAAGCTTGTGTTTAGTGTCCTGGGCCCAACTTTAAAACCAGTATTATTTCTTCCACGAGTCCACAACTCTCTCAAGCAGCGATTTAATGGGAATGCACTTCAGATATAAAGTATGTTTCTTTTTTTCAAAGTCCACCGTATGTTGGGTTCTGTTGCACTAAATAAACTTCCCTACCACATAGGGTATTATATTATCTAACGGTTGCAATACCTGACACAACTCATATGTCAAAAATTATAGCTGAAATTCATGAACACCACTTTAACTAATCCAACCAATCGTCACGATCTTGAGAGTGACTATTGGTATACTACGTACTTACAAAAGTTTGATTTTTGCTGAACAGAGAAATGGCGTATACAGAGATAGAGATATTGAAATTCTGTAAACACTATTGCTTTTAGTTTGAAAAGGAAAACTTAAATATGACATCGGCATCGCGACTCAAACATAATAAGTATTTTTTTAAATTGAAACAGATATTTTTTTATTTTGAGGAACCGTTAAATTACGATTACAGTGATATACAGGGTGAGCGGGTGAGTCACTAAACACACGGTCGTCGATATTTCATTAATTAGAGAGAGAGAGAAAGATATATATGTACTTTAAAATTATATTTGACTATACAGAGTGTTCTATTTTTAAGATGTAATACTCAACTTAGTTTTTTAAATGATACACCCTATACATCTTTGCATATTTTGTTTGATCTTTCCGTAACCTTACAACCACAATTTGCTTTTGCAATTCCGATGCCGTATTATCAATTTTTTTGGCAGTGAAAGGGTTCTCAAAAAAAAAGTAGCAATAGGCTTCTTTTTAACGTTTGCCTTACAATATTTTGTGGAAGGATAAACAAAGATACGTGCTGTATTGTGGTATCAACTAAATCAAATTTTAATATAGGTATACAATGTTTGTAAAAAAATTAAAATTTTACAATTTTCAGATATCGATATTTCAGTTCTTTCAAATGGAATACCCTGTATTTTATTATTGTATCTTACTCTATTTTTATATACAGAAAATATTGATCAAAAAAGAAAGAGAATAAAAAATAAGATGCAGTAATAAAAATATGGGGTGTTCTATTTGAAAAAAACTAAAATATCGATATTTGAAACTTGTAATAATTAAAACATTTTTATAAACATTCTGTATAAAAAAAAATTAATCTCATTTATACTCGAACAGAGCGCGTACCTTATTATATATGTATATAAAAAATAAACCTACTGTGATTTTTTTTGTGAAACCTTAAAGCCAAAAAATTTCAAAAATTATGAAATAACGTGGCATCGCCGCATCGTAATTTCAAAAATAAAAAGTGGTTGTAAAGTCTAAGAGGAAGTCAATCTAGATATGTAAAAATATATAGGGAGTTTCATTAAAAAATTAACTAATATATTACGCCTTAAAAACAAAACCCTCGATAGAGTCAAACATAATTTTAGAGTATAGTTTTCAAAGAACCGTACAATTTTGGTGTTTGACTTTTTTTTTATTTCTAATAAGTAATGAGATATCGAGAAACGCGCACTCAGTGACTCACCTTGTATAACACTTGGATATTTATTTCAATTTCATATTATAACAAAAAATGAAATTTGAGTGAAATAAAGCAGTTGCACTTTATTAATCAACAAGATTTGGTTCAAAAATAGTTCTTTTTCATTTCTTTATGTTTACAAATTTTATTTTTTGTACTAAGATGTTAAGATATTAAGCAGCGGAGTTTCAGCTGAAACATCCTGTATATTTTTTTTATTTGAAGTAGATGTAATAAATTTAAAGTTTTTTTTTGTTTTCCCGTCCCGCCTTGGACATAATTAAATCCTACTATTAACTCTATATATCGACTGGAATTTATTTGTGGTTTATTTTTTATTGATCAAATTAGAACGGTACACCGCATTATTTTATTATAAGTATTATACTGCACGCGTCGGAATTGACATACGTGTCCTTGCTGAAATGTTGATCGGGACATTTTCAAATGAAAAAACTCACTATAAACTATATTCATATTTTTAAGCAACTATTAATTAGTTTCCTATCATGGGTGGAGTATTGCTCTCCAGATCAAATATAAATAATTTAACAGAGTGTGTTTTCGTAACTTAATGTGTTCGAATCAAGCGCAGTAGCGAAGTATTGGTGATTAAATTATGACACAACAATGAATTCAGAAAAACAAGCTCGACAAGAATCTCTAAAAAATATATAAATATATCGAATGTCATTTAAAAAAGTTTGTTGTCGTAGACAAACATAAAAAAAAATAGTGCTAAAATACATTTATTGGGTGTTAGAAAACACATAAGGCTTATTTACTTTCTTACACTGTTACTGGTATTACCTGTATTGTTTTAGTGTACAGAAAGTTATCGAAATAATAAAAATTCGCAAAATCAAATTTTATAATTTTTCAAAGAAGCAGAGGGAAGTCCTATCGAAATATTTTTTTTTCAAATAGCCACATTAGAAAAAAGCACTTTTGAAATATCATTGGAAAATTGGAAAATTTGATAAGAGACTTCTACGACATGCATAAGTTTGGACGAAAATCATAGCACGCAACAAAATGAAAAGTTTTCATGTTCATGGGATGACGCAACTTTATTATAGACCTTGTTTGAAAAAGTAGGTAAAACATATATGTATAGGTCATATCAAGGAAATCATTGACGAAATATTTTCAGAACTAAACGACACATGTTCCCGAAAATTACAACGTCTACAAACACACTGGACAAAACAAAATAGTAATTTTCAATATTTAAAAAATTATCTGAAAATTTGTGTCATAATTATCAAAACTATTTTTTTTATCTCGCTCCACTTGTATAAAATGTATCAAAACTTATGTCCAATTACATCTAAAGATGTTGTGTTTTGGATATATGATACGTTTTGTTTACACCGTTGCCATGGAATCCGTGCGTGTAGTCGCGATATTGGACTGGAATCGGGTCCTGTTCGGACAGTGCCCAGCAGCAGTAACTTAACTGCGGGTTTTAATTTTCATTCTCCGCGCTTCCTAAAGAGAATCAAGTGTGTCCTATGAAGACTATGAATCAGGACCGATTAAAAGCACTCGCGATGCTATTAGTTGAAAAAAAAATTAACGCAAACAATTGAAAATTTTGACAATAAAATGTTAAATATTTTTATGAATAACGAAAACAGAAGATTAGACTTTAATTATAAATAAAATTACATTCTAGTGATAAGTGAAAGACAGTATAAAATAAAAACTTTAACATTATTATGTATGCATTGTGACTTGTAGGTATTTTTATAAATTCTTAAATTCTGTGTGAAAATCAGAACATCATCGCACAATTTCGTCTATTAATTGGTGATAACAACCTGTTTTATATCTATGTCATCAATCAAATTGTGTCTCCCCATTTCAAAAGGTCACGAGCCGCCACTGCCATAACGTTTATTACCCCACAACTGCCTAAAACAGAAAAATCGTCGACTTGTTTCACCAACCACATTGGCATTATTAGACCCAATTAAACTATACTCTTGTTCAGACAATAATGCCAACATGGTTGGCGAAACGCGTCGACTTTTTTTTGTATTTCTTCCATCTTTTTCAATCTTAGCAATATTTTGTTAGAAAAGTTTCCCAGGTTTATCGCAAACAATAAAAAGAAAAAAATTAATGATTTATGTAATAAATGTATCTTCAGGAGAATATCGTAACTCATTTTGTGATTTTAAAACGTGATTCCAAAACGAATTTCTAATTTTTGGAATGTATCAATCTGGTATACCTAACATAAATCAGTATTCAGAATAACTGTGATATTTTTAGTGTTGCATTGCGTTATTCATCCAGACATCTCACTTTGTGCTGAGTAACTGCATCTACATGAACGTTGACTCTAGACTCTTCATCGTTCATCAGACTTTTTCCTCTGATTTCACTTTGTCATTTAGTTGAATTCTTGGCCACTATTCCAGACTTCCTTATGCCGCGCCGAGTTCCATAAACACATCAGCACCGGTGTCGAGTAGTACATCCGTCTGAAACAGTGACTTGTGTGTGCCAGTGTTTTTCAGTTTTTTAGAGTTACCTGCCGAAAAATCCTAAAATCGGTCACGATTTGTGTTCGATTTCGATTTTCTCAAAGTTAACATTGCTTCCTAATATATAATATAACTTTGCACCCCGGGGACTAAAACTGCTTATTATTTTTAATTTGACACTAATAAAAAAATTCAGCAATAAAATTTATCACTATTAAAATGTAACAAAATATATAATCAAACTTTGAAACGTTTGTCTCTGGCACCGTAACTTCCAAACGGATGAACCGATTTCAATGCCTTTTTTTGTTTGAAAGCTGATTTAATCGAGATGTTTCTTAGTTGTGTTTTATGATTGCTCAACCATTTCAAGGTTATCAACTCGGTTTGTGTGAAGGTTGGTATAACGCGTCGACTAATTTTAATCAATTTCAGATTTTTTAAGGATTCATTTTTTGTCAGGGATTTTTAAGTATTAACACTAACACGTTTTCAATATTATAAATAAATTTGTTAAAAAAACGACCAAATTTCAGTAGAAAAGTGTACTTTTTACATACTTACCTACAAAATCATCTCAAAGATATTCCATTTATTTCTTTATTTTAAACAATAAATTTAATGTTCTTTAGTGTTCATGTTAGCGATTAACTTACATCGTTTATATTACTGATGAATAAAATCATTAATCCCCTGTGCATGCTCCGTTATTCCCAAAATAAATACAGCCTATAATAAAATTTGGTAAATTTGGACACGGTTCCTACAAGAAATCATTTAATAAAACCGTCAACCTCAATTAAAAATGACTAGAATTATTATTATTATTTCGTGTTGTGGTTGTAATAAAAATTTCGATGTATTTTAACTTTTTTCTGACGTCTATTTTTACCTAAACAAGTTACTTCTTCTGTAAACTGTAAATAACTATTATTTATTTTAACACAACTTCTTGTGGAGGTGTTTGAGGATGATGACCTGTAGTCTGAAATACTGAAAGGAAAAAATTACTGGAAATAAAAACGACAATTGATAAATATCTTTTATTAAACAAAATTAGTGTTTTATTTACAAATCGGTAAGCACATGTATTATACATGATAGTGAAAAAGTAAACTAATATAGTTTAAAGATTGATGTCGCTGGATTTTGCTTTGCCAGGGGGTCTGGTCATAAGGGATTTGGATCGAGGAATGCTCGTCAAACTTTGCGTCTGAAACAACCAGAGACAGTTTCATGATATAATATTCTCACTTTAACGAAAATATTGACAATAATACTGAATAATATAAGAAAAGATAAAATCTCAAGTCAGATCCAAAATAAAATTTCATCGCCAAGAAATGTCTACAGTATTTTATTTTGGATCAGACTTTTTCCATTAATAGAAAATAAGCATAAATTGATTACAAGATGTTAGCGAATTGTGCAAACTAATTTAAAAGCGATGAGCAGCGGAAAAAATCAAACAATTGTACTCGATACAGTTCATTAAAAGAGCAATAGATAATTTCGAGCGATTATGATTTTAACGACTCCTATTAAACAAACTTTTGAAGTATTTGATGCAACTTTAGTACTTTAACGTTTCTTTAACCCTTTGCAGTGATTTCGTACACATGTCTGAATAACTTTAATATTAAACATAAAAATATTAAGTTTATTTTGACTTATGTTACAGTGGGCGTCGAGGTAAGTTTAATTTTTGATCCATGATGGTGATCTTACTTGAAATACTTATCAATGTAAAAATTGTAAGAGTAATACAACATTATTGATTGCTTCATTACCCTGAGAAATGATCTGCAACTTTGGACTGGAATGCGTTTTGTGTTTGTATTATTGCGATTATTGGACTGTAGTGTGTGGGTGGCAAATGAAATGTAAGTGACTGTGAAAATATTAAAATAAATAACTAAACTGATAACTGGTTATGCGATACTGTTGCAAACACTGTGGTTTTTCAATAACATTACAATGCATAGCGGCAACTTTGTTCTTTAATCAGTAGGTCTTAACAAATGTGAAAAACGATACTTTCTTAGATTAAGGTAAATGTTCTGGTAAATTCTGAGAACGGTTTTTGTTTAAATTTCAACTAGAACAAAGAGAATTTTTTCTCTTAGGTAAACGGAAGTAACTAATATTACTATTACGTACAGATTTTGATTTCCAACATTATGATGTCTTTCTCCCTCACTATAATTAGCAGTGTGGGTTTGAAACAAATATTATCATATTATGTTGAATGTTCGTTTATTTGACACGTTCCAAAGAACTTTTTCTTAAAAATTATAAAAAGATATACCATGAGAAAAATTATTTCACTGAGCTTATTTATATTTTGGGTTGTTAAAAAAAATAATTTAATTAGTATAAACTGTGTAAAAAAATTATCCAAAGCAAATGCAAATCATGTCACTCACTGTAAAAAAACAACAAAATCCAAAAGCAAAATTCAGCAAAAGCAATACAAACCGACAGATTACGAATATGTAGATTTACTATTTAGAATAAAATTTAAAAAATTAACGTAGAGTCCGCGAAATAATGAACATTGATTTTCTGTTTCCAAAAGTGGTCACTGAAATCTCCAGTAATTCAGTATTTTAGTGGTGATGATTTACAACGCTTGTCTGCTTTTGGGTTGCTTGTCCGAGGATCAAAGCATGCCAAGGTTACAATAAACAGAAAGTCAAAATTCACTTTACGGCAGACTCTACTTTATGCCATAAAATTGTCGTGTCGCTAACCAATATTGTTTGTACATCTTCTTTCTTTCATTATTTTTATGAGAAAATGAGTTTTTCCTTTACAAACTTTTGTGATGACGTCATCGATATTTTTGCAAAGACATCTGTACTAATTTGAATAGGTGTAGTGTAATACTAATAATAACGGTATTTTATTTCCAAATTTTCGGGGACATGGAGTGACTCGTTCCTAGTTGAAAATAATGTAAATTGACTCCTTCATTAATTTTTTTGAGCCACCCTAAAAAAATATAAATGCAATGAAAATTCACAAACAATTTTCGATGGGAATTATTTGACAAAATTTTGAAATGACGTCATCAATTTTTGGGAGAGGATAAACGAACAAATTTTGAATAACCTTTTACCGTCATTACGATAACCTTAAAACGTCTACAGGATTTCAGAGGATTCGGTTTTGTAGTTTCAAAATTAAATTGCAAAATGTTATACAATTTTGATTTTCCAAAAATCTGGATGTCAAGGGTGAAAACTGTAGACGGATCCATACATCACAAGTGCAAAAGTATCTTATTTTATAAAATTAAAAAAATGATATTATTGTAAATTTTGGAAATGAAGCCATCCCGTTCGTGGTGGGGATAATTAGCCAAATTTTGGTGAGAGTTTTACTATCTACATTATATTCCTAATGTACGTGTAAAAATTGACAACACTCGGTTCAGTAGTTCAGTAGTTTCGGAGATTACCTGTCTAATAAAAATCCGGACAGACGACAGACAGACAGACGGACGGAAGTAAAAAGATATTTTACTAAAGCACATTTACTCTTTTTAATATGATAACGGCATTTAACTAAAAAACATGTGAGATGATTTAAATCAAATCAATTTAGTGCAGATTGTTACTTAACTTTTTCCAAAATAGTTAAAATTTTGCCAACATTATTACTACTGTTTAAATATAGCATACGCTTGCTGGTAAAATTAAACTTGTGTACGTACAAGTGAGAGTTCTAATTAAATTTTTATCAACATCTGTCTCAAATTATGTAAGAACTGTAAATTTATGGAAAATTTATGCTTTTAATTAACATAGCGTCATCTTATACAGAGAATCTATTTTATTTACTCCATGGCACAATTAATAGTTCAAAAGTTTGGCCATGTGGTAGACCACATTTTAAATAGGTACATTATACACAGTGCTTGTACATACATGTAATAAACGAAGCTCAGTTACATCGGAATACTTTTAAAGTTTGACCTGTTACACAGCCGAAATTTTGAAATTTGTTTACGACCTTCAGACAAAAAAAGGTGCCCAATTACTACTTATACCCATAAAATTTTTTTAATTTAAGTACTTGATAAACAACTAATAATGGTAAAATAATATTTAAACTGGTTTAATTGTGTATCTTTCTGGTTGTTCTCATCCTGTGCAGACGTTAGATAACCCAAAATACGGCGCACTTTTATTTATCATATAGTTGGTTGCCTACATCAATAATGTAATTTAAATTTAAATGTGAATTTTACAAAAAAAAAAAAAAAATACATACATATAACTTTTTAAAAGCAAACTTCTAACAATTGTTTCTATTACACTGACTACTAATAAAATACGACAACAGTTGCATCTAAAATGCTACGTACAAAATAACCATATCTACCTTTTGAACATCACATATGTATGACATAATAGGAACTTATCATTTTAGTTGAGTACCTACCAAGGAGGTTTAAATGTATAGAGAGAGTATGCCGTGTATCTTCCATATATCAAAGTGTGACCAACATCTCCCGGGTGAGAGGAGTGAGGCACGAGAGGTTTACTGTACTGCAGTACAGTGGCTGACGAGTTTCAATTTCGTACAATTTCAAGAAAAATAAAAAATATTGGTTTTTAAACAAAATCTGTGGTTAATACACTTCCCACACGTTGGCGTATCTGGTCTTTGCAAACATCCATTAAAATCTAGAACAATGACAAATGTGTAATAGACAGCAGTAAAATCTAGTTCCGCCACTGACTCGCTCAATTGCTTATCCGTCAATTCACGAATTAGTACGAACACCATACGAACAGCAGAGAGGGTTTGTATATGTGCGACACAAAACAACGAGCCCAGTACTCTCTCTATACATTTAACCTCCTTGGTACCTACATATCCACTTGGTTAGGGAACCTAATCAGATAAAAATACATAAATTGCATTATTGGTGACATAAATACCTACCTAGTTGTCTTGAGGTATTAACAGAAGGAATTTTATATATACTCGATACACTGCCAACTTTTTTTACTATAAATATACCCCACATTTAGCCCCTAACTTCAATTTAAATACAGGTCAATGCATTGGAAGTATGCAACCAACGTTACGTCAAAAATACATCTTGATTTTGTAGAACAATAAATTGGGTTTTCTTCTACATTGCGTACGGTCTTTAACTTCTTTTCTTCAGTTAGAACATGATTTCTTCCATTTTTTTGGTGGTGTTTGTATTCGACGCATCTGTGATTATTTTATGACAATAATTCAAGACGTTTTTTTTTAATCAAGAGGTTGACGTAACATTGGTTGCATACTTTCGATGCACTGATCTGTGTTTTTTAAAATTACACGTTTTCTTTTCACTAAAATACATATTTCTGTATTCTAATTTGTCTAACAGAACTATTTTTTTCATAGCAAATAACTAAGTTGGTCTGTTTTTTCTTTTAAAAATTTCATTTTCAGACAAATTGTTAATAGTAGGTAAACATCAATTATCAATTATGACGATTAAAATTGTACTACACGATGTAACGCTATTACCAAATACGGAAAAAAACTAGTCGAGAATTTGCTAATTTGTTGTGTTGATGTGCAGTTATTACTTATAAGCACTAGTCATTAGCACATAAATGGTTCATTTGAGCGTTATATTGCTCTTTGGATACGCTCTGAGAACTTACCTTTCTAAAGTTAAGGTCAACAGTGCAGTATTAGTAGTTATTTCTAATTAGAGCCATTAGTCACAGTTGTTAAAACAAATGCTTTAATATCTGAATTATAAAAATTTACCGATATAGAAGAGCGGAAAAAGCCTTAACATGTAAACTTCCGCCTCGCTCAAATCTTAATGCAGAAGTTGTAGGTGTTTACATATTTGCCTTTATTAAAGAAATATATAGTTACCTCCAAATTTCTTGGAGTGTGATATTCGGAGGCGTTCCTTCTTATACCATTATTGACCGAACTGTATCTTGTTCTAGTCGACGACAATATTAACGTATCTTGTCTGTTTTTTCTACGACCACAGAACAACGCCTTGAACGTCGTTCTGTATTTTTTCGACAGAATGCAATACATTATGAAATTTGTAGCTGCATTTACTGTTACGAGAAAATTGAATATGTTGCCGAGAGCTGAAAAAGAATCTGCGTTATCAGTTTTTTACAAGTACGTTTCTTGTGTGTTACCGCGATGGATGTTTTCTGTGGTTTGATCTTGCGATTCGTGGAAATTGCTGTAGATGAGGAAGGAAGCAGTCGGCGTTTGGCAGATTAAAAATAGAAACACCACGCCAATTAACATCACCGTTATGCGGTTTTCGTTGGACATCGAAACGGTTTCCTGTAATAAAAAGTCGAAATTAATTCGATTTGCTGACGGTATGTGCATACATTGAACTATTAAAAAAGCACACAGGTCAAGAGTCACAAATAAACGAGAAAACAGAATTTTTTCAGTTTATTTACTACAAAGGATTGAAATTAAAAATATCTTAAGATTTTTTTTCACTAAACAATTTTAAACAAATTCTGTAACGCACACTAATACATTGTTATCGGAGCTCAAGACTAACGCTTCATTATAAGTAAACTTTATGATAACGTGATAATAATTCTTTTACCTCAGTTATATTGAATAACGTAAACGACTGCATATTATCTACACCAGTGAGATAAAGTTCACTTGCCCCATTGCTTTTAAATTATAATGTAATATTACGCTAGTGCGGTAATATTAAATTACTTTATTCATCTAACTTATTTTCATACACATGAATAGGATGAGTCAGAAAATTTTATATGCGTAAACTGTTTTCAAGCTAAATTGTAATAGCGTGCTTTTATTAACAGTAGTGAGTGTCTCAAGAATCAAGTCAGGTCAAGTCAGATCAGGTCACGTCAGGTCAGTTCAGGAAAATAAATTGCCTCACTCATAAATTTTTTTGAGTCATCTTGTATAAGCAATTAAAAACTGTGAGTGTAGAGAGTGATAATATTTTACATTTCCAAGAGGTTTTATTCGGCAAAATTTTGAGGTGACGTCATCAGCTTTTTTGGGAGGGCTCAACGAATAATTCTGATTAACGATATCCCATGAATACGATAACCTTAAAATGTGTAAAATTTCGGAGCATTCGGTCTTGCACTGTCAAAGTTAAACTGCAAAATGTTGTTATACAATATTGATTTTTTTTTCCAAAAATCTGTATAACTAAATTCCAATTTTTTCAATTTTTGGATATTCAATTTTTCTCTTTTTTTTGTTTCTTCAAAATTACGACATGCAATTCTCCGAGTTTTCATTTAAAATTTTTCAATTTTTCGATTTTCCTACTTTTGGATATTTCAGTTTGCAGTTTCACGAGTTTTGAAATTTTATTTTTCAACTTTTCATTTCGTTTCGGTTTTTTAATTTCTATATTTTTTTCGAAATTTCTGTTTTTCAATGTTCTGATTTTATAATTTTTATAATTTTCAATGTGAAATTTTTGAATTTTTGAATTTTTATTTTTTGATTTACTTTTTGGGTTTACAATTTTTGGATTTTTTAATTCTTGGTTTTTTCAATTTTAGAAGAAATCCGGTTTATAGAAAGCGAATTAAAAGTCTTAGATTTCTCATTTTCTCGATTTTTCAATTTTTCTTCAATTTTTTATTTACAATTTTTCTAGTTTTCATTTTAAACATGTAATAATAAATATATATAATTTAAAAAATTGTTCACTTTTTCAATTTTAATGTTTTAGAATGTTTCCGTTTTTTAGTTATTGGATTTTAAAACTTTTTCATTTATTCGATTTTTCATGTTTTAGATTTTTAATTTTTCAGTTTCTCGACACTTAAGATTTCCATTTTTCGATTTTTCAATTCTTGGGTTTTCCAATTTTTCGATCTTACGATTTTTCCTTATTCATTTTTTCGATTTTTTGATTTCTCAACTTTTCGAATAAAAAAAAATAGAAAAATTGCAAAATTGTGAAATTGAAAAAGTACTTGTAAAACGAAATCTTTGAAAAATTTAAAAATCGTAAGTCAAGAACTTGAAGTATGAAAAAACTGAAAAAAAAATTGAGAAACTTAAAAATCGAAAATGTGCAAAACGAAAATTAAAGAAATTGGAAAATCGCATAATTGATAAATCCAAAAACTAAAGTGAAAATTTGGAAAACTGAAGAACCAAAAAATTATAATATATCGGAAGAAATATTGAAAAAGAAAGGAAATGAAAAAACAAAAAATTGTGATGTAAAATTGAGAAAATGAAAATGAAAAAATCTGGAAAATAAGAATTTTACAATTAAGCTCTGCCCCTCGGCTTACGACAAATAAAAAAAATCAGAATTGAAATAGGGTGGGTGGGCGGGGTTTATATTTTGCCTTTTTTTTAAATACATAGCTATCTTTTCACAACAAGAAACTTTCCTTATACAAATTTTCCATTTTAAATATGTTTTAATTTTCATGTTGTGAAAAGAAGTCTACACATATTAAAACAAAAATAAGAGTGATTTTGGCAAATGACGTATCCTTTAAGAAATTTAATTAAATTATTATAATAAAAGACACTAGAGACTCCAAAGCAGTTTCAAATTCTTTCTAAACAGGAATACCTAGAACCTCAAAATTGTTTTAAATTTCCAAAAAACAAACTGGTTCCCACGATTAGCTCAAAAACTGGATAACGAAATCTACAAGAAAATACGTTTCGAAAATAGTTGAAAAATGGTCCAAAAATGTTAAAAGTGCCAAAATTAGTTCTATACATATTATCAAATACTAGCTCCGCCCACCCACCCTCCATTTTCTTGGAAGGTATTTGATTTGCCAAAATTAGTTTTGTCTTAAAAATCATTCAAAAATCAGGGTGAGTGGGCGGGGCTAATTATTTTCTTCTGTTGTTTAGGAGGTCAAAAAAGTGTAATTAATAGTATAAGAAAAAAGCGCCAATCGTAACTTTTTTCTTATACTATTCGCTATAAAATTTATTTATTCTTTCATGTACCTGACTTGACTTGACCAAACCTGACCTGACCTGTTCTGATTTTTCTATTGTCTCAAATTAACAAATTTTAAATATTTCTTTGAATTTACAAGAAAATGTCCAACTAATTTTCCGAAATAGTTGAAAAATGTAGGGTAAAATCTCAACACGGATTCATACACCAAAATGCAGGAGGATCTTATTTTATAAAATAAAAAAAATACTATTGCAAATTTTTGGAGATGACGTCATCCCATTGGTGGTGATCTTGATTAGCCAACTTCTGATTTTCATTTTACCCTCTGCATGATATTCCTAATATATGTATAAAATTTGACAACAATCGGTCCAATATTTTCGAAGATTAGATTAGATTAGACGATAGACAGACAGCCAGACAGGTACGGGATGGGAGACCACTTTTTTCGTACTTTCGGGGTCATGAAACGTCGAGAAAACATGCAAGTTGCAAATCGCCAGATGGATTCGATTACTATTATTTAATTATAAAAAAATAATTATATTACTATTAGCTTACGCTGAGGAAGTGCAAACTGACAAACAATACAGAAACATAATATAACATTAAAAACCCCATGATCTCACATCAACAACGACTAATCATTTCCTAGTAAAATTACTAAATCGGGTGTTATATGGACGTACGTTACACAACCGGAGCCAAACATAGAAAAATTTCGACGTTTCTGGTCACATAAATAAAGGGCATCTTCAGGAAATAAGGAACAAAAAGAACGACCAGTAAACAGTAAATCTTTTCTTACTACCTCCAGTGTCGCTCGTTTCTGTCCCGAAGTTTTAATTCTTCTGGTCGTTAATTTTCTGAAGGTACCCCTTATGAAAAGGACGAAACACGAAACCCTTTTTAAAATCGACACAACAAACCTGGAAAACGCATTATTTTCTGCTACGTTACTGCCCATTCACAATGGACATAAGGCATAACAAGTACATAAAGCTTACATAAATACGTAAAGTTGAAACTATGGAAAACGCGTACCCCTGTTCACAGTGGACGAACGTAATTCTTATGCTTATGAACGTTTTATGTAATCCTTGTGTGCGTACACAAAGTTGAAATAAGTTCAACTTTGTGCACGAATTATGTCAAAATTATGTTAAAATCTAGGGACTTTTGAATGCTGCTATTGAATTCCCTTTGACAGTTGGCACTTGGCACTTCACACCTTTGATTATATTATAAAAATTATAATCAAAGCTTCACACGGCGAGTCTGTTCTGTACTGCGAGTTGTCAAGTTCGAATATCGTATGAAATTTTAGGTTAGATATTTTTTTTAACTCAGTTTGAGGTTAGCCGTTTCTATGTTTAGCCGGGAGTTATACCGTTCTGCGTTTGCGCAGTTTAACAATTCTTACAGAGTTCACTCTGTCCACTGTGAACGTAGATAAGCATAAGCCAGACACAAACCAAAAACGTAAATTATGTTATGCGCTCGTTCTTATGTCTTATGTCCATTGTGAATGGGCAGTTAAAGCAACTTAAAAAGGTATGTCCTTTCAAATAACGTAACTCATTATTTATTTAAAATCAGAATTACACGAAAATACTAACGAGTTACCAAAAATAAAAATAAAAGAAAAAAAGGTGAAGTTACTTTTGCTTTACGGAAGATGAACTCGAAAAAGAAAAAAGTGAAAGAAAAAGACGTAATTGAAATGCATATAGAATCTATTGAACGATCACCAAAAATTTCAAAATCACAGCGTAGCTACTGAAACACACTTACTAAGGAAGCAAAAAATTATCCCCATAAAGTAGATAAATATTGTGCCCAAAACAGTAGAAAATATATTGTTACGAAAGAAACCCATACACCGCCCCTGTACGACGCCTATGGGTTCTAGTATGTACGGCGATGATGACTCATCGGCCGGGCGGCGTTTGCAAACGAACAGCCTGGAAGCGGAAGTCGCAATCCATCGAGCGGGACGTATAGGTTTAAATAGCGGCCACCGTCGGGAACAAGGAGTATTCAGTTGGTTCAGTGAAGACGAATCTAGCCAAGTTGCGCCGGAATTATTTTGTACATAATCGCTGTGTAATCAGTGGTGTAAATTAGAATTATTAAGAAATAAATTGTTGAGTTTTACCCACGACGATTTTATTCACCGATCAACGTAATAATATATTACATATTATTTTTATGTGTAGAACGAAAGGATATAAAGAAATAAAAGAACGCAGAAAAAAAAATCGAGATGGGAGCAGGATTAAACAAGAAATGAAATTATATTGTGGGAGAAAAGAGGGAAAGTATAAGAAGTTTGGGGCAAAATTCTATGAAAGTTGAGAGAATTTTGCAGAAATTAAAGTAAAAGAACGACAAGAAAGCGTGCAAAGAATATTAAGACAAGAATGAACATACTTTAATGGTGGTAGAAAAAAAAGCAAAAGCAACACAAAAGAAACATAAAAAATCAAATGATTCAGACAAATGTGACGAAAACTTGAAGCACTGGAAGAATGAATGAAAAGTGTGAAGAAGGTCACGAAAGTAAATTATGTAAATATTAATTAACTTCTTATATTTACAATTTACGCCGATTTAATTCCCGTAAATCATTGATCTCCACCAAAAACTCAATAACATCTTTTTAAAAAATTATTAAATATTTTGAGGTAAGGTTTTACAAGATTTTTTTTTATCGATAATTAAAAATAATTAGCAGGTTTATTTGTGCTTCATGGACAAAGAATGTTCTGTCTAAATAAATTTATTATATTTTTTAATATTGTATTGCCACATTTGCCAAAATCAGTTTTTTAGTTTTATCTTAACAGGTACTAGTATTTGCTAAGATAAGACTTATTTTGGCAAATAACATATCCTCTGACAAAATAGGGGCGGGTGGGCGGGGCTAGGCTTGCTAAGATAAGACTAATTTTGCCAAATGACATATCCTCTGACAAAATAGGGGGCGGGTGGGCGGGGCTAGTACTTGCCAAGATAAGACTGATTTGGCCTCTATTAATCTTGTAAAAACTTGTTAAATTTAAAAGGTGTTAAATTGCAAATTTCCATAGTAACTAGTTAAATTCCTAAATCTGATTAGGTGTTTATTTTTTATGTTTCATTCTACTTCAGGGGCGAGGGAAGTTCTGTTGAAACAACTTTCGACCATTTTTTTTTAATTTTTAAAAAATGTCCTGGTTTTCGTTGGTTATTTAATAAGCAGAACTAGAGTTACTTCAGATTCTTTGTATATGAAGAATTCTCCATAAATTTAAGCTTTTTCTCAAACGAAGATGATTTTTTTGAAGAATTTTTTCGAAATTTTTTGGAAAATATCCAGTTTTTTTTGGTTATTCGACGAAGCCGATCTAAAGTTACATCAGATTCGTAATCTATGAAGATTTTTCCATAAATTTAATCTTTTTCTCTTATTTCTGTTTTTTTTTTTTAATTTTTTTCGAAAATTATTTCATCAATCAATCAAGCAATCAATCAATCAATCATTTGAAGCGACAGAGCAAAAGTAACTTCAAATCCGTAATCTACGAAAATTGCAGCGAAATTATCCTTTTTCCCGAAAGAAAAGAACTCGTTTTAACTTTTTTTCTGAACATTTTCGAAAATTTGGCCATTTTTACCATTATTTAAATAAATTGACGAAAAGTAGCTTCAAATTTGTAATCTATGAAAAACTCTCAATGAACTCGTCCTTTGATCCATTGTAATTTTTATTTTAATTTTAACTTTGTAATTTTCATTTTAATTTTAACTTTGATTTGAAAATTATTGGAAAGTTTTGGACATAACTTGTTCTTCTTGGTTATTTGAGGAAACGGAGTCGAAGTTAAAGTTTTGTAAATTGTGTCAGCAGTGGGATACAAGATTAACAATAATTGGTTTAGGGGTTAAAACCTCATTTTTAGGATGATTTTGCCTGTTTTCTTCCCCCAATTTAGTATCAGTCAATGTTGCGTTAGTCGTATTTTCATTGTAAAAGTATGATTTAGCGACTTCGCCACTAATATTCATTTTTGAGTATTTTTATCTCAAAATATAGTGGGTGGGAGAAGATTCTTTCCTATTTTTTTTTTTGTAAGTTTTTGGGAATTTGATGGTTTTAGCCAAGTATTGATCTCACGCAAAGGGAACGACTAGAAAATTTGGGGATCTTGAACACTTCAGTTTTTTGGAATTTTTTAGTTATTCTGGATAAGTTTTTACCTAATTTTTAGACAAATTTTTTTCTCTTATTTTTACATTTTTACAATTCTTCCAGTAAATGGTATCTGGATTGTGATGGCTGGCTAGAAATGAAAAACATCCAAGTTGGAAAATTATCGCCGAATTTGATAGAATTTATTTGCGTACATTTTTATGTTTTTGCTTAATTTTGAAGAATTTGTTTAATAAGAAGATTTTTGAGTCATTTGATATGATTTTTGATGGTTTTATCGGATTTTTTAATCCCCCACACGATTGCTACAGACGTAACATTTTATAAATGTACTTATTTTTTTCATTAAACTATTCAGTCTATTATGTCAATTGTGACGCGTTTGTTGCTTAAATGGTCCGTTTCAAACTGACCTCAGTTTAGGTCGACAAAACATAAATCTCAATCCAAATTTAAAGCCCGCTCCAAAAATATGCATTTAAAATTTGGTGTGTTATTTAAAGCACTCTACCCAAGCTGCTTTAAATTTAATCGAATATTAACCATGTCATCAAAAACAACCTGGTTTGTATAAATTGTACTATGCAGTCGCTCACTTCTTACACCTTGTTTATTTAATTAAGCTGACGTTTACATGTATTTTTTTTTCAAACACGAAAAGTTAATTGTGCATCAATGTTGACACAACTTTAACAAGAAAAATAAAGCTTAAACTAATTCAGTATGTCAGTGGTACAGAGTGGATATAATTAATTACATATTTCGAATTATTTAGTAGAGTATCTCAAAAATGAGCTATTTACTGAAGTAATCTAAACTAAACGGGGTATTAGTTCTTTTAATGAAAAATTGTAACTATTAATGAGATAAATGCAAGCTAAAATATGTTATTTTTACCTGAGAATTTGTCATTTTCCTTCTTCTGTGTTGAGACTTGTACACAGCGTGGACCAGAAAACAGTTGAAGGTGGCAATGAGTATCAGCGGTATGAGTGCAAATACCAAGGCAGAGAACCAGGACATGAAGGTTATGTATGCTTTGTTCTTGCCCAAATTAGTCGGCTCGGTATCAACGGTGAATTTCTTCAAACAACAGGTGTCATTGTCGAAAGTGTCATTTGTAGTTACTACAAATTTACCAGTAGCGGTAAAAGTTTCATTATGATTAGTTCCTTTAATCGAGTGTTCAGTGTGATCCTTTGACGGTTCACTGTTTGTGTTAACTTGCCCTTCTATAAGATTAGTATTAAACTTTTTGACAGTGGTTTCGTTAAACATCGAAGGATATACAGGAACATAGATGATGTGCGGATGAGATGTGCAATTTACAGGAAGTAGTTTGTTGATGGTCGGCTCTAAGTTAGTGTAGATCTCTTTCACTAAGTTTTCACTAGACTCGTCGGTTTCACTACTTTGAAGGTTTGTCACTACTATGCTATGATTTGGTAGATGATGGAAGGTTACGTTTTGGGGACATTTACCAACTGTTTGTTGTCTCGCCTTGAGCTCTTCGGGAGTGCAGTTACGCGAGCAACTTTCGTTTATCTGGAGTGCGTACTCGAAGGTGGTTGAAAGTGTGGTAAGTATGCAGAAAATTGTGATTCCTGTTATTATCACTTTTGCTCTATTCTCGGTGCAGAGCACTTTACCTTTTATTGGATGGCAAACCGCTATGTACCTTTCCAAAGTGAAAGATACTGTCAGCCACACAGATGCGCTGCCTAAAAATTAAAAATTAATAGTGCACGGACTGAAGCAATTCCACTCGAAAAACATTGGTGATGTTATTAAAAAAATCAACACTGAATGGACTACGTAACACTTTCAGTCAAAGTTGTTGAAAGTTTTTAATTTAAAAAGGAGAAAATTAACTCTTGGTAAGTAATGCTCATTAAAGTTACTCCTTCACAAATATCACTTGGTCACGTAAGGTAAGGTCAGCTCTGGTCAGGTTAGACGTAAAATAAATAAGAGGTACAACATGATTTTATTTAACTTTATTTACGATAAAACCCAAGTTTGACGACATGTTGAACAGTATATATGTTAATAACTGAAATACATGTACATTAGGCACGTCTTTTTGTTTTTAAATTTACCAAAGAGCAATTATTTAAACAAAAATTAATCGCATTCGACGCCAGAGTCCTACTCAATGAGTATAATTAGTGCAAGACCAGTTAATTAATGATTTTCTAATATGAAATATGTAATGCTTTTATTATTCCAAATTGCTGACACCAATTTTGGTTAATTATTTTTTGTAAATTTGCAGTCCATGTAAACATTTATAACGGTTAATTGTTCTAATACAATTTAACTCAAGAATCATTAAAATTGATTGAGAAAGTTTTCCAACAATTTATACACGCAGCAAATTCAATTATTCAGATTCAACTTATTGTTTACAACAATGATATCTAAAAATTCCGGATGTGTTTACTTAAGTTGTTATTACTTTAGCCACACGTCATAGCTTCTTACTCAAGATTCATAATATGTAGTTCATATGTGGGATTTAAACTTCTTACATCCGAATTATTTTCTCACAGCTAATATGAGCATTCATTCTCGAATTATTATTATTTTGATTTTGACTGCATTTTTTATGTTATTTGAATTTAATTTTCATTGAATTATTAACTTTCTTTTCTAAATTGTTAACTCTAACCGAGATTAATGCATGACGTGACAGGAGTGACGGGACTACATACTCAAATTGAAAGTTTTTCTCTCATCGGTGTTTTCATATGAATGTTCATCTACAGTACCCTATTTTTAACCTTAGTGAATCAGGCTGGCTAGTTAGTTACGTCTTTTGCAGGGCTGAAAGTAAGCAAAGCCTGCGTTTAAAATCCACAACTTGTGTTGTGGCGATAGTTAGGGAAAATAGATCTTAACAAGAAGACGCCCTTCGCGCAGCTGTGGCTAGACTGCAAAGTTTGTTTTTCACTCAACTTGTTTCCATCGTTACAACTTGAGTATTACCATCCAGTTATTTTAATGACGGTTTTGTATTTGCTTATTTTAATTTGCAATATTTAAATAATTGTCTGGATTGTAATTTTTTTTCTGAAAGCTTGGAGGGTTTTGTAGCTGGTTTCCGATTTATATATACTACTCACAAAAATATCGCACCAATATGTCGAGTATGTATATCGCTACAGCCTGACGTTTAAGGAAATCCATACTACTGAAGACCTAATTTTCGTTGACCAGTATGCAGATAAATCAAAGTTAAATCAAAAAGGACATTCCAACTAATCCAGCTTCTTTTAAAAATTATAAAATTTGAATTTGCGAAATTTTATTTATTTTATGATAAATAACCTCTGTAGGTTTGAAAACATAGATAACACCAGTTGTCATAAAAAAGTGAGCTATGAGGGAATGAAACGCTCGACCTCCACGTTAGTTTAACGCTCTAACCACTTCGCTATACGATGTGGTTGTATAAAATGCTATCATACAGTTATGCAATTTGGGGTATACAAAAATCAAGCCGGATTCATAAACCACAAGTTTCTACAGGATTATGTTATTTTATAAAATTTACAGCATTTACCATGCAAATTTTTGAGGTGATAACATCTTGATTTGACAACAACCGATCTGGTAGATTTTTTCATACTCTAGGGGTCATAAAACGTCGAGGAAACATGCCGGATGGATCCTACTACAATACTTCCTTAGCTTACGCTCGGGAAACAAAAAGGGTTGAGGTTACGAGCCCTAACAACTAAATGTTCGGACACGTATTCTTTTATACAAAAAAATGTAATTTAATGAAAAAAAATGTATTTTACAAAAACAAAACTAGAGTAATATATAAGTAGGTATCTTTAATGCAATATTCTCAACAAAAATTGTAATATTATTAACTTAACAAAATTATAACACAACAAGAAGCTGATATGAACGAATAAACTTGGCAACTAAATATTCGGACATGAGTATTTTTTTTTACTTAGTATGGTGTAACATCTCCTTTTGCTTTGATTACTGCGCGTATCCTTGCAGGCATAGTACTTACAAGACTTCTGCAGTATTCAGGAGTAAAACTTGCCCAAACTTCGTCGATTTTTGCTGTTCGTTGGGGGTTGTTGCGCAAAACGGATTTTGTGTCGTGCCAAAGTGTCTCAATGACATTTAAGTCAGGGCTGTTCGCAGGCCATGAAAGGACTCTTATATCATGATCCCCAAACCATTTCTTAGTACTTTTTGCGGTATGACATGATGCACCGTCCTGTTGAAAAATATAATCGTTGTCCGGATACAGTTTTTCAACAGAGGGCAACAAACTGTTTTCTAAAATTTGTTGGTATTTCATGGCGTTAATAGTCGTTTCCACCAATTCATAATTCCCCAACCCTTTAGCTGACATGCATTCCCACACCATTATTCCTTTAGGAAACTTTACAGTTCGTTTTAAACAGTCTTTATTGAACGCTTCACTTTTTGATCTTATCACTCTTCTCCGCAAATCTCCCACGCACACATCAAATTTTGACTCGTCACTAAAAATGACCTTTGACCAATCTTCCAAGGTCCATGCCAGCTTAGACTTTGCCCAGTTGTACCTATTTTTCTTTTGATTTGCCGTTATTAAAGGTTTTTCTTTGGCCTGTAACGGCACGGTGGAACAAATGTAAACCAAAAACTTAAAAATTACTTTATAAAAACTTAATCCTGACTTGTGAATCCATTTCCTACAACATTCTCGTGACAGCTTATGCCCTATTTCATCCGTCCATTGTGCTGTTATGTCCCGCAATGTGTTTCTTCGATTTTTTTTACAAAGTTTTACAAGGAGCCTTTGACTTCTTTCTGAAACTAATTTCGGTCTTCCTGAACTTTTTCCTTTAACGTCTAGTCCACCAGTTTCGCGATAATGTGAGATTATATCCGCTACAGTGGACTTTGCTAAATTCAGTTCTTCACTAATTTCCCGAATTTTTTTACCTTGGCAATACTTCTTTACAATAAGTGCACGTAATGATTTTTCAAGTGGACGTCCACGAACCATTTTGTTAAAGAATATATATATTTTTCTATGGATCTTACAACACAGTTAGGTAAAGCAGGAAGAGGAGAATGATATTTATTAACAATCAAACAATTCACACCGCCTACTTAGTGAAAATTAATGTTTTTATATATTTGTCCGAATAATTAGTTGCCAAAGTGTATTCACTTTTTCTGAAAAATCCACAGTCATATTTGAATTAAAATTCTATGTAAAGTAAAACATTCAAATTTTTTATTAAAAACTATTCTTTGAAATCTTAGCTTCCTATTTTTATGTGATTTGATAATAAAAATTAAAAACTAATTCATAAAGAGTGGTTTTTGAACGCTCCGGTTAGTTTGTCCGAACATTTAGTTGTTAGGGCTCGTACCTACTCAAAAATTGGAAACACTAAAGGCGTAGTTACCAAAAATAAATATATATTATATCAAACATATTTTTCCAATCCTAGAAACATTTTTATTCATAAGCTGAACAATTACAACAGTATTCTCAAAAATAACTTTTCATACTGTGTATTTACAAGTGATAAAATTTGGTTAGTTAAGTACAGTTTCATCTTTAGATGGTGATGACTTCTCCTCAAGATTTGGCATGGTAAATGCTATTTAAACTTTACAAAATAAGATATTCCTGTACTGGTGGTTTATCAATCCGCCTTAATTTTTTACCCGAATCAACCAGATTTTTCGTGAAAAAAAAATCGAAATCATATCAAATTATTACAACATAACGATTTTTTTGTTTTTTTTCTAACTGGATTTGTTTTATTGTACTTCAACTGCTTGTGACAGGACGTTTGAAAATTTTTATGAACTAGCCACGAAAATTTATTGCTGTTATTGTAATTGGAGCTCAATAGTCAAGATCACAGTTACTAATGCTCTTATTCAACAAACACATGAAACGATAATGACTGTAACTAATACTAACACAGTCCAAAGCTAACACAAGTGGTTATGTAGAGCAATTTTGGCCCACCTTTTAGCGGAAAATTTGAACTCTGCCGCCAATTCAAATCTTTGAAGCAATCGCAAGTTTTAGAAAATTTATTGTTTCAACAAAAATTTTTTTGTAGATGTGAAGTTTATTTAGTATTGTAAACGAATTTCCACGATGTAGCAACACTTAGATACCCACTCGATGGGCACAGAACAATAAACGGAACTTTTAAGTCAACAAAGACATTCAGAGCACAAGACCAGCAAGAAACAAGTCAGATATTTATAATCTTATTGTGCATGCGTAAATACACAGTCTATTGTTCCTATTGGTTAGAAAACATGTGTCTTAAAGCCAGTTTCACAATATCTTTAAAATCACAAGTCCACCTCACTCTGTTGTAGATTTGTTGCGTATATTTTTCGTGCTTCACTTTGATTTTACTAGTGTAAACTGGACATCGACTCATTAGAGCGTGTTAGCTAGTATTAACAAAATATGAAGTAAATTTTCAAAAAATAAATTTCGGGTATACAAATGAATGTAAAACAAATATTACATGGAAATAATTGTTTTGATTGCCACGTAAAATACTTCAAAATACATTAAAACTTAAATAAAATAATCCCAAATTGACTACTGAACTGACCTAACCTAACCTGGCGCAGGTGCATAACCAAGAACCGAGAGTGTACTTCAAGGATCATTTCAAGGATGTTAATTATCCCTTGCATTAATATTATTATAGCAGAAAGTGGGTCGACACTGGCTTTATATAACTACTGACGTTGCCATAAGTAATTATAGTTAATTTTTAGTTCTCCTTATAATTTCCCTGAATTTTACGTTATACTACGTCCAACTGTGATACGCAGACGATTTATTTCTAGCAAAGGAACTACGAGTATTTTATGAAACTTAAAGAATTTCATAAGTGGATACTTATATAAATAAACTTGTCTCAGAATTTACTTTCTGAATTCTCCTAAATACAATAAACTTGAGACTGAAAAAAATTCTGTTCTTTGGAATAAAATTTACGAAATTTAATATCTAGAGACAATGTTTGAGAGACGTTGCATAAAATTTGATGTGGGTAAAATTTGTACCATCTACTTAAATAAAATCTTTTATTACTGAAAAGTGTTTGTCAACTTTCAGGTCTTAAATTTTTAACATGTGTTTATTATTTTATCTTCGGTTGTTTATTGCTTAATGATTTGTTAAAATTTATAACGCATAAAGACAGACAAGTCAATTTCTAACAAAACTAATTTACACCCAACTCCATTCAGCATTGACTGTTTTATTAAAATCGCCCACTGAGAATATTTTTTGAACATCTCACACGTCGATCTCAATAAATCATCGACTATTTTATCAAAGGTTTCTTTCAAGCGTTATTGCTCACTATCTACGTCATTTTGAAAATGCGGCACACTTCGTTAGTATTGTGAAAATGCACATTTGGCGTCAATCCAATTTATCTACTGAAATAAATTTTAACACTGACAACTACTAGGAAATGTTTACACTCATTACAAAGACAATCATTGTACTTTTTACAGCCACGTGAAAAATTCCTGTCGAGTTTGGAATGTCCCCTGCAAGAATGTCAGCACGTTTGCAGGTGAAATTAGATTTCCGCACCGTAGAATCGGGCGAAATTAATTTCCAATCGAAAATTATTACGTAGGTGGAAATTGCTTACTTGCAGAGTCGCAGAGCCAGTGCGTTAAGCCATAAAATCTCCAATATAGTTCGTACTTCCTGTCGTGGATGTTCTTGTAGACCGCGAAGGAGAGGAAGAAGACGAACAAGAGATAAACGATGTCTGCCACCGCCAGAGCAGTTAGGTAAATATTCGTCGAACACCTCATACGTTTCCTGCAATAAATTCGAGCTAATTACTTTTTGTAATGAAATAGGTGATTTAAATGTTTATCTTATATATTATCGTAGCACTAACGGATTTTTACCACTCTTTCAACCTCGAACTCCTGCTGATGCTTTTAGAGAATATAACTCTTCTGTCATTCACCTAAATTGAAAACAATTTTCTAAACACATTTTTCTAAAGAATAATGACGTGTTTGTTAGTTTGATAGATTAGCGTTGATATACACGAGGATCGTAAAGATTTGAATTTGTTGAAGATTGAGTTATGTATAGGCTTTCTGGTGGGTAATATTAATGCATAAACGCATACCTAGCTATTTCAAACACTTCAGCTGTCAGGAATGAAAAATGTCTGAAATGTCCGAATTATCTGAAGAATGCGCTTTCGCTTTCGTTTTTCAGTTCAACACTTTTAGTTTTTAATAACGTTACTTTATTCATTGACTTCTGAAGATTAACTCAATTTGTGAACATTATTCAAACCTATAATTGTGGTATTTAAAAAATGCATAGAAAATATACATGTAAGTGAATTCAGCATATTTTTATTCACCGAAATAATTCGAAATAACAATATGATTAACTCGCGTTATTCAGTTATTCAGTTTTAGGGAATGAAAAATTTAATTTCACAAAAGTTAAACCTCAACTGAAAAATTGATCAAAGATTATTTAGATAGAACTTCACTCGGTCCTGAAGTACAGTACGACATACACAGCTTTTTCGAAAAATTTTAAAACATGATTATTTGCCAATTTTATTTTTTTATAGATAACCCTACAGGTTCACTGTGTGTAGTATTAAAGTAAAGGTAAAAAAGCATGCTATGCGTCTATTTCAAGTGCGTTCTTCCATTACAAAATTGCGTCAACATTTTAGCAAGGCCACGTAGCTGCTTATATCAATTTGGACAGATGATCAATAAAATAAATTGCTTGGTAAACCACAGGTAAGGCACATAATATTTTAGATTAAATACTGAAGTAAGACGAAAGTATATAGAGAAGGTGGAAGATAAAATCAAGCAAAAAGAAATGACAGAAAGAAAACCTACAACAACAGTGGATTTTTTTAAATAGCTTTATCTACAACTGCTTTATAAAGGCCTTATTACACAACTCATTCGGCACTGTTTGAGTTGAGTAATAAACCCTCTTATTCCACTAGTGGTGTAATAGAAAGATTACACCACTAGTGGTGTAATGAAGGTCTCCACTTCTTAGTTGAATTTTATTAACATGTAAATTACAACAAATTACATTGATTAATTCTTAACTTATTTGCTATACACGTCGATAATACATTTCTTACAATTACTGATATTAATACCAGATGAAATGAAATTATTTGTATCTTTGTCCATAATGCTTAGGTTTTGTTAACAAAATGTTTGTTACAGCTCCAGTATTTAAGATTTCTCTTCTAATAATGCTTGAATCTCGGTTGTAGCTACTGGCCGTACTTGTTCTGGCTCCAGGATCACCTCCAAGAATATCAGAAGCGGTCTTTTTCTTGTTTTCAATCGAAGTGTCGATATAACCTTCAGTACCTTCACATACAGCCCAAAGGCTGCTGCATTTATAACTTTTCGACAAATCTTCAAAAAATGGCAACAGCACCTTCTATCTTGCTTCATGATTTATTTTCTTGGATGCACAGCAGTCAGTGAACCGTTTTTCGTATTTAGTTTTTGATTTATCAGGGAACAATGAAGACACTAGGTTTGTAGCAGCTTCTTCTGTTTCGAAAGGCAAGCTTTCTGCTTCAGAATCACTCATTTCTCGATTGAACAACATTTTTTTTCTAAAAACTGACGCGTTGTTTACAACAAATTTGAGCGGTTGTCATAACACTGCAAAAATTCTCTTGATTCTTGATTTTTAATTAATAAAAAAATTTAATCGGCTTTTTTTCTTTTTCATTTTTGGGCAGTTGTAGATAAAGTTTTGTATTTCATACATGGGCTAGAGCATATTACAGCAACTCGTGTGATTACAGATGACTCGGTCTAACGACCTCGTCTTCTGCAATCTTCACACTCGTAGTGCTGTAATAATGGCTCTATCCCACTAATAAGATAAATAACTATTATCAGCTCTGCAAAAGAAATTATCTGGAGTAATTAAAGAAAAAAATGGAATTATGAAAAATAAATTAGCATGAAAACAAAATCTGGATAATGAAACGGCAGAGAAATATGAGCAGAGAATTATAGTAAAGGAAAACAACACAGAGACAAAAGTAGCATTTAAACATATTATGTATTTTAGCAGAATAAATAAGAAATTGTTTTACACAACACTCAAAGGATTACGAAACAAGGAAGAAACGACGATACAAGGATAAATGAACTAAAAAGCATTTGAAAACGAAGAATAAATAACACATGAATAGAATCCAGATTCTATGCAAAATGCATATCTATATATTCAGCACATTTTGCAATTTTTTTTTGTTTATCGTATAATTTCAAAAAAGAAATATAAATATTTCCATCAAAAAGTTCATATTGTTATGATTTTCGTAGAAACAATAATACATAATCATTTTCGCTAGATGTTAACAACTTGGTTTTACCTCCTTAATAAGATGGGTCAAGATTAATATTTTTATGATCTGGTTTATCCAAATGCGTTGATTTGTAGGTACTTGGCAAAAAAGATTTGATAAATTAGGTACTCATTCCTTCCTAGTGTTAGTGTTCAAAACATGTTGAAAGCGAAAACTTCCCTAGTTTTCTCATGGATCAAACATATTCCAGAACTAATTTATAGTGACAAAAAAATTTCTGATAAACATCCACTAAGATGATAAGTTACAAAATTAATTAATAATTTGTAAATCAATTTTTTTCACACGAATTTATTTAAAAAATATGTATATTTTTTTGCATTTTGGTGAAAATAGGATTTTTCTTTAATAACAATCGTAATCGGCCAACTCTCTACTTTTACTTTTTCTCGTCCGTTCATGACCTCGAGAGTACGAAGAAATAGGTCTCCCGTTTCCGTCTGTCCGTCTGTCTACCCGTCCGTCCGTTTCTCTGCCGTCCCAGATTTTTATTGACAGATAATCTTCGAAAGTACTGCGCCGATTGTTATCAAATTTTGTATTTATATGTAAATGACTAAACGCTAACCAACATTTGTCTAATCATCTTCAAAACTGTACATACTAAATGGGTTTTAAATATTTGTAGTTTATGACTTCGTGTTGAGTTTTTACCCCAAACGTCCAGATTTTTGGAAAAAATCAAAATTATAAAACATTTTGCAATTTAATTTTGAATCTACAAAACCGAATGCTTTGAAATCTTGGAAATATTTTAAGGTTATGATAGGCATGATAAATGTTTAATCAAATTATATTTATTTATCCCCTCCAAAAAAATGATGGCGTCAGCTCAAAGTTTTGCCGAATAAATCCTATGTACAATGTACAAAAGTCTGTACTTAGTGTACTGTAGTGATTTATCATTGCGTTCATATCTTTCGGTTTTGCTTGTACAGGGTGACTCAAAAAAATTAATGAATGCCTGAATTTATTTTATTGATTTAATCAGGAATTACAAAATTGAATACTTTGAAATCTTGCAGACGTTTTAAAGTTATTGTAAGCATGGTAACTTTTTAATCAAAATGTATCTGTTTATCAACCCTAAAAATTGATTACGTCATCTCAAAAATTTTGCCGAATAAATTATGTCTAATATGTGTAAAATATGATGAGTCAATGCTTGTAATTTATCATTGCATTCATATTTTTTAGATTTGCTAATACAGGGTGACCCAAAAAAATTAATAAATCAGTCAATTTATTTTATTGAATAAATCAAGAATTGCAAAACTGAATGCTTTAAAATCTTGCGGACGTTTTAAAGTCGTTGTAAGCATGGTGGACGCCCTATGCACCGAAAAGGAGTAAAAGGAAATATATATAAGCATGGTAAATTGTTAATCAAAATAAATCTGTTTATTCCCCCCACAAAATTGATGACGTTATCTCGAAATTTGCCGAATAAATTTTACCCAAAATGTGCAAAACGTGATGAGTTGTTATTTGTGATTCATGATTGCATTCATATTTTTTATTGATCAAATTAGGAATGAGTTACCCCATTTTCCCGAAAATGTGAAAATACAAACGTCTTTATTTAATAAGAATTATAATAATGAAATTCCTAACGTTTTGTCGATTGTAGCTTATACGGTGCCCAGTAGCAGACCGAAAAATGAGCTAAATAGAAGTTCATTGCACGGGCGTGATTTTAACTTTGAATAAAAGATCGACATTTCAATTGATAGATTATGTTTAAATCTCTGGGGAAGACACAATATTGTTTAAAATAAGTGATTGTTTAGTGTTTAATCAATCGTTCATTCTTCGAAGGAAATTCCATTTTTATACGAGGAGAGAACATGTTTCGCTTCAACTTTTTTATCAGTGCAAAGACAACATTGGACTCTATGGGGAAGAACCGGTCATTTTTGTTTCAAATTTATGTTTATCAAAATATTTGCGTTTTAAAAAAATATTGAATAATGAAAATAACGTAAAACTAGGCAACTCTATTTACAAAGGATCCGTTTCAATCAATGGTTCACTTTGACAGAACAGGGAGCTTTGTCGACCGACCCTTTCAGATAATCAGTTCAGGTCATAAAACTCATAAATACTCATATATATGTACTCATATAAATACGAACATTGTTGAAACTCTTTTACAAGTCGACTTCTTTCATTGCTGACATAATTTGAATTAAAAGTATGCAAATTTTTATAATTTTATACATTCTAGGTATTAAAATATTTTCTTTCAAAAAATTATTCGAATATTTTTTGAAAATCTAAAGTTTAAAAAACGAAAAACTGAAAATCGGAAAATCCAGAAGTCGAAAAATCGTAAGCTTAAAAAATCGAAAAATTGAAGAATTGAAGAAGTGAGTAATCGAAACTTTGGGAAGAAATGGGAAAATAAAAAAAAAGA